TTGCATAAATGTACTGGCCACTTGAATTTCTTCTTTTGAGAACTGTCTATTCATACCATTTGCCCATTTCAATTGGATTATTTGGTCATTTGTCCCTGGCTTTTTTTAATTCTTGCACATTCTGAACATTAATCCTTTTTCAGATGAATAGTTGGCAATTGTTTCCTATTCTAGAAGTTGTCCCTTCATTCTGTTGATCATTTCTTTTGCTAGGCAGAAATTTCTTAGTCTGATAAAATCCCACTTGTCTATTTTGTTTCTGTTACCTGTGTGCTTTGGGGTCTAGTGTAAACAAATAAAAACAAACAAATAAAAAATTTGCCTTTACCAATGTGACTGCAGAGTCTGAATGGTTTTCAGAGGTGGTGAAAATGGACAGACCTTTAGGCAGAAGCCCGAGGGAGACCAGAAGCCCGAGGGAGAGTGGAGGGAAGCGGGCAGGTGCTCGGACAGCTCGGACAGGGCCGGTTCTTGCTGGAAACACAGTGGGGCAGTGGGTGAGGAAACATTTTAACATGTTTCCTACATGTCGTTATAATATAATCATATTCCTAAAACTTTGATTTTATAGAAAAAGAGAAAAGAAAAAAACTATCTGTGATCATTTTGCTCAGCTCCCTAAAGCTTTCTTTCTTTGTAAAGAAGAAAAAGAAGGGGGGCAAGGGGAAGACAGCTGCCTTGGTAAGAAGAATTAGGGTAGGGGGCTCTGGAAAGATAGAGGACCTGTGGGCCTTTGCTCTCAGATGCTTTCAGGCGGGTGTCAAGGGCCCTTTTCCCCCACCCGGAACTTACCATAACTGGACTTGCTCTCAGGCATCTCTGCCTAGCATCATTTCTTCTGGGGGTCTATGTGTAGCTTCTTCCGGTTTATTTGTCTTTGACCTACTTTTCAGGCCTTATCTTTGGGATGGGCAGAGGTTGGCAAGGGGGTGCCTTATTCATTGTTAGCTTAGAGTGAGCAAGGGGGCATGTGGATGTCTATTATACTCTCTAATTATATGATGAACATAGCGACCCTAAAGTGGATACATATATAAGGCTATGTTAGTGCAGAGGTGTGAGTACATCCTGCCTCAAAGTTAGTCAGCCCCTTTGCCTCCCCTATATTCCCCTGGAGGTGGGAGCAGCTCATCGTTTGCACACTTAACTTTCTCCCTGTGTCCTGCCTGTCTGGTCTTTCTCTTCTGGTCTCTGGTGTAAGTCCCAAGGACAATGGGTGCCTTTGTTCACCTATTTTTTTCCCTTTTTCCACTCTTGTCTTTTCCCAGCTTTCCAGGGTAGTGAAGTTTGTTTTTAACTCCATGCAGTTAGGACCAGTAAAAAGACCTGAGGAGGCTGAGGCCCCTGTTTTTCTGTCTGCAGACTCCTGCCCCTACAGAGCAAGGAAATGGGTTCTTCCCCAGGGCCTCCGACAGGAACACAGTACAAGCTGGTCTTCAAAGACACCCACTCGGGAGAGCAACAGGCTCTCGTGTCCAGACTGAACCCACCCCGCTGCCCCACAGCGGCCACATCGTGCCCAAGGCCACATCACACCCAAGGCCACATCGCACTCGGAGAGAATCTGGCTGACTGCACAGACGAACAGGAGGAAATGAGCGTCCAGGCCATGCAGACACGGCCCGAGCCCCAGCAATGTCCCTTTATGTCTCCTTGGCCAGAAGCAGATCGCAGGGCCACTCCAAAATTCAGTGGAGTCTAGGACAGTAAAAGTCTGGGGAGAGGACTCTGGAAACAAAATATTGGGGTTCTGCTGGTAAAAGACGTGGGGAAGAAGTGTCCAATTGTCACAGTCTCCCACGTCCCAGATGAGGGCAAGGAGAAGGACCAGGTTTGTGACCGCCCACACTTCAGCTCATTTGCTCCTCATGCTGAAGACACTGGTAAAGTCACTCGAGGAGTACTTAACTTGCCTGAGGTCAGAGGCCCTGCAAGGTCTGGGCTGGATCTCAAACTCCAGCTCAGCTCCTTCAGCTCCTTCAGTATGTTCTCACAGCACACTTGCAGCACTGGGAGCTCAGAAGCCAACTCCGTGTAGGACAGGCAGGGCAGAGGAGGGACTCTCATCTCACAGTGACAGCTGAGTGAGACACACTTATTTATTTCACTTACTTCCCCAGAAAGCCCTAAGGGCCAGCATCGCCAAAGAAGTTATACAGCTTAGGTGATTGGAAAGTGGTGGGGCGGAACTAGAACTGTTCCTTCATTTTGTTATTGATTTCCCAGCAGTGTGTCCCCTCTGACTGTGATGCACTGTGAAATCTGGTTCTTTTGGGTTATCTGATTCCAAACCCCATGGACTTTCCAGGGCTTCTACCATGCTATTAGTGCCATTTTAGAGAGAGACGCAGAAAGGCTAGAAATCGCCTAAGATCACGAGGTTCCCATGAGGAAGGACGACCTTGAACCAGACACCCGGCCCTAAAACCAGGGCCCTTCCCCGCGCTTCCTCCTGTGCCCGCTCCATCCCACTTCTGTGCTTGTGCCTTGCGCACCCACTTCATGCCTCCTGCACCCATTGTTCAGCCTCGGCAGCCTGTGGGCATGAAGTGAAAAGACAGGTTTCAGAGGTAGAAAGGGATTTGGCGCCTGTAGAATGTTGGAGCCACTGAAGCTCTGAATTAACGAGCCCTGATACTCTCCAAACTTTGGTCTTTTTGTTATATGAAATAATATACTTCCTTTCTCACTGTGTAAAGTTGAGTCAGCTTTTACTGACTCCTAACAAGTGTGGATGTGTTGGTCTCTCTGCTCTTATAGTTCCAACTCTCTGGAATACTCACTGAGGTACCTGTTTCAAAACCATCATCTTTTCTTGCTTTGACCTCATGCTGGTTCCTGGTGCTCTGTCCTGGTCCATCGGTGAGATGACGAGTCCTTGAAGAACAGGAGGCCTTATCTCGTGGGGTCTTGAAGCCCTGGATTCTGGTTCTGATGCTATGGGTACCTGGTCGAGCCTTTTACCCTCTGCATAGTCTGAATGTTTCCACCCAAGTGCAAATTTTGGAAACCTAGTGCCCAGTACAGATTTTGAGAGGTGGGACCTTTAATAGCTGATAGGCTGTGCCTGCGTGAATCTATTAATGTTGTTCCCACACAACTGCCTTAGTTAAGGGAGTGGGTTCCTGATAAAAGGATGAGTTCAGCCTCTTCCCACCCCATTTCTACAGGCACACGTGTGAACACACACACCTGTCTCTGATGGGCATGCACACATACATATACAAACAACTCTCACAAGCGCACACGTGTGCATACACACCTATCTCTCATGGGCACACATATGCGCATATGTAAACAACTCTCATGGGTGCACATACATGCATATGTGCACATTACAGGTGTGCATACATGCATATACCAACAACTCTCACAGATACACATGTGTGCATACACATCCATCTCTCATGGATCCACATGCATGCATAAACACCCATCCCTCATGGTGCATACACATGTATGCACTCCATTGTTCATGGATACACATATGTGTGTACACACTCACCTCTCATGGGTGCACATGCATACATGTAGACCCTCCTTTCATGGGCACACACACGTGCATACATACCCTGTCTCTCCCAGCTGCGCAAGTGCGCACATACACCCCATCCTTCATAGCGCACATGCATGCAGACTGGTGCACTCATGCCCCTCCCTCACACGCACATGTGTGCACTCACACATTCCCTCTTGTGCCCTTCTGCCTTCTCCCAAGCAATGATGTAACAAGAAGGCTCTCACCAGATTCAGGCTCCTCAAGCTAGACTCATCAGCCTCCAGGACTGTAAGAAATAAGCCTCTGTTCTCTGTAAGTTGGTTGGTCTCCTGAGCTCAGGTATAGAAGCAGAAAATGCACCAAGACACCCTCTATCTCCCCAGGCTACATCACTGCCTGGGGAAAGCAGTAAATAAGCTGCATCTCTCTTGCTAATTCTCACTGAAGCAGTGTGGATGATTTTCACGGAGCATCAAAGAATATCTGATATGTTTCCATTTGTATGAATTCAGGAGTAGAGAAAAACTAGTCCATAGTGAGAAGAAATTAGAATAGGGGAAGGGCAGCGGCTGGGAAATAGCACAAGGGGGCTTTCTAGGCTGATGAGAATGTTCTGTACTTTGTAGTGTTACAAAAGTGTCTACAATTGTTCGTTTTTACCAAATGGAACATATACTCTCTGGATATGTTATTATGCATAAACTATGCCTCAATTTATTTTAACATATTTAAAAAGAGAATGGCTTCTGAGACGGTGTTCAGTTCAGCTGCCCAGGATGCGGAAAGTGATCAGCAATGTCTGCCTCGGACGAGGAGAAGGTGAAGCAGGCAGCACAAGCTCCCATTTGCTCTGCTCTTCTTGTATTTAGCTGGACATGCTCTGAGGGTTTCCGCATCATTTCAGTGGTTACATTAACTCAGCCCACCTCATAAGGCTACAGTGCGGTGAAGGTTCCTGTATAATGTAAGCCTCTAGCCAAATCTAAGATGTTACTGTACACTTGTGTCTGCAATATCTTGCACCTCCCTAGCTGAGCTGAAGCAGGGCAGAGCCGCATATTCTCAAAATGCCAGGCTCCCTGTGGGCTTGGACATGGCATGTCTGTCTCATTATTCATCTTACAAACATCAAGTGCTGATGTTGATTTGCACCCTGGCTTTCCTGCTGGAGTGCAGGGCCAGCTTGAAGGAACTAAGGTGACTTCCACAGGCTGACCGAAGTAAGGCATTTTCTTCTGAGGCTTTACCCTTTCCCAGTGCTCTATCTCAGGATGGAATCTGGTAAATGTCATTTCTCCTCCTTGTTCCACTATGGAGCTGAAGGACCTTTCAGAGCTGTCCTCTGTAGCCTGCTCTGTCTCTTGGCTAAGGGAGATGCTTTGGGCACCTCTGATATCTTCAGGGAGTCTCTGGATGATGGTGAGGATGGTGCTAGGCAGGCTGCACCCCTGGGAGGCTCGGGCTCGGCAGCTGCACTGATTCTCCACTGCCATCCCCACAGAGGCAGCAAGACGGTGCCTGGCAACCCTACCTCTACTTCCGAGGTCAGTCAGAGAGCCAGACACAGCGGCAGATCCAGCCTGGGTATTCCGCCAAGAGATACCTCCGAGGCTTCTTGCGGACATGGTCCCCCACCTCCACTTACAGACTCCAACGTGCAGGTCAGTGAGATGTGAGCTCCCCACCTTTCATGCTGGTGCCAGGCTGTTTTCCACCAAGGCCTGAAACAACAAGATTTCAGGCCCAATCTCTTTTTTGTTTGTTTGGATTTTTTGTTTTGTTTTGTTTTTTGAGACAGGGTTTCACGATATAGTTCAGGCTATTCTTGAACTCACTATGTAGCCCAGGCTGTCCTCGAACTCATGGTGATCCTCCTGCCTCAGCCTCCTGAGTGCTGTTATTACAGACATGTGCCACTACGCCTGGTTTAGGCCCAATCTTAATAAAGCAACTCCGGAGCTTAGTAGCCCACAAACCTCTGCCCCTGGCCACCAAGCTTGCCCTTTACCTTCCCCACGTCCTCAGAAGGACAGAGTCCATGAGTCTCTCTCACCCCCACCCTCACAGTCCACCTCCCAGGCCAGCACTTCATGTACAGCTTTACACACTCAGAACCTCAGAGAGCTCCTCCAGTTTAACCCCTGCTGGTCACAAAGTAAGAAAAATCCCGACAAGCCAAGTGTTTGTCTAAGGTCATTTGGCCAAAAACAGAGCAGAACCAAAGTCTGGTCTTCCTTGTCCCTCATGCCCCTAGCTCCACATTCTTCCCAGGATTCCCTGGCTCCCCATCTGAGGTGGCCATGGGTCCTATGGGAAGTGGGGATGTGGGAATTCCTCCCTTTAAAGATGCACTTACAAGTAAGATGAACAACCTTCTGCAGAGGAGCAGAGACCCCTCCCAATACACCCTGCAAATCCTGGCTTAGGGCTGCAGGCTCAGCACACGCACACCGTTCCACAGACAGACAGCTCGGCTCCCAGCACTTCGGACATACTGCCATTTAAAAAGTATCCATTGTTTACCTAAAATTCAGATTTAACTGTACACTCTGTGTTTTACTTGGCAAACCTTTGGGGGATGAGAGGTGAGCAGTAAGATCCGCCAGGACCTACTCAGCTGTTTGCCATTTCTTCAGCACCTGCAAGCAGGCTGGGCCACCCGAGGAATTCTGGCTTTCTTTACGCTTTCATGGGTCTAACCTGGGAAAGAAAACAGCTCTCTCCTATAAGTGGTGACTGGAAGCCAAGTGACAGCTGGGCTTGTTTGGTAATCGGTTTTACTTCCAGTCCCATGGACTGGCATGTCCATTTACAGCAGTTCCATGGAAAGGCTGTGCCATTTTTTTGCATTTGTGAGAAAGAGACTCTTTAAAAAAGACGTTTATCTTTAGACAGGCTGAGGTGGTGCAGACCACTGCCCTGTAGCCTGAGCCTCATGTCTTCAGGAAAGGACTGGCCACCACACATCAAAAGATGCTCAGACTCCTCCATGGGAGTCACATGGCCAAAACATGTGGCCTAAGAAAAGACATACGTGCGTTGCATCCTTGGGTTCTTGCTGTAATTCCTTACTTGAGCTCCTCTTGAACGTAAGTCCTTAAGCTAGAAGAATAGTAGTGACACTCAAAGGAGAAACCACCAGCCCAACAGCCCCTACCACACTCTCCCCTCACACCTCAGAGTTTACCACCTTTGTGATGCTAGGATGCTTCTGCTCCCTTCTTTCCACCCCAGTGATAGGTCCTCTCTACCCTTCAGGCCCACATCTTCTACAAAGGCTTTTATGGCAATTCCCATCAATACTGAGCTTCTCAATTTCTGTTCTTACATGACGCTGGTCCTCAGGGCTGCACAGGTGAGTGCAGGAAGCACCTGTCTCTCCAATAGACTGCATGCCTTTAAAAAGAGCCCGTGTCTGATTCTCTGGTATATACCTCCTGCCTAGCAGGAGGGCAGGACCCCCGGTAAGCTCTCAGCAAATACTGTAGAATGGCTAGATTGGGAGGGCTGATGATCACAGGTCTCACAGAAGCAAGCAGGATATACCCACTACCATTGGGTCGTCCCTCCTGAGACAGGACGATATTTCTGCCCAACTCCAAGGAAGCCGCCATGTTTCTCTCACTGGGAGAAACAGTTCTTGGAAATAGTGAAGTAGAGGAAGCGTACATGTGCCACAGGGCCAGGAGCTCTCCAGATGCTGGATGGAGAAAACTCCATGGACTCCACCTGTTTTTTATTTTCTCCCATATCTCTCCTCCTCCTCCCCCTTTTCCTCCTCCTTCTCCTTCTTTGTGTGTGTGTGTGTGTGTGTGTGTGTGTGTGTGTGTGTGTGTGTGTGGTACTGGGGATAGAACCCAAGACCTTTGCACTGAGCAATGTTCCAGCCCTCATTTTTTCTTTTTTAATTTTGGGATTGAGTCATGCTAAGTCACTAAGTTGCCCAGACACTACATCCAGCTCTTCCCATCTTCTAATTGTCTTCCTGGATGGGCACTGTCCAAAATCAAGACTCGTGCAAGTGGGGAAGCTTGTTGTTAGCTCCAGGGCCCTACATTACTGAGCATGTTTCTGCCAGTAACTCCTAACCCACCCGCCAGGATACATCAAGGATTCTGTGCTGCTCCAGGATGCTCGACCTGATGTGCCAAAGAATCTCAGGCTGCAACAAGACCTTTCAGGTGCACCCCCAAAGTACCATCTCCTGCCTGTCTTCCCACCATTTTGGATTCAACAAGGAAACTGTTTTGAACAAGGTACGTGTTAGTTTTATGGCTAGTTTTCAAATATTTGGTTTTCTGGCTAGTTTTCAAATATTCTCCTTAAAATGGAGATTCCTAAAATAAGGTCTGGCAATTCCATTCGTCCTCTTCTGTAAAATGAGGGGCACAGTCTAAACCAGCACTGTCCAACAGTACTTTCTGAGATGATGGAATGGATATATGTGCTAGCTAATATGATGGTCATTAGTCACACGTCTAATGAGCACTCGAAATGTGGCTAGTGTGACTGTGAAACCAAGAATGTTATTGTAACTAATTAATAATTAATCTAGTCACCTGTGACTCCTGGCTACTGTATTGAACATTGAGATCTAGACTCTAGATTTTAGGCCATTCCTTGGAAAAGATCAGGCATGTTCAGGGTGGGATGGCCATAGACTAGGTGATTCCTTAGATCTGTTCCACTGTAATAATCTGTAATCCTGTGGTATTTGTGGCAACATCATATGGAAAAAAATATATTACTTTTAGGCCAGAAATCTGTATCCTAGTGGCAGTTTTCTCATTCAGAAATGTAAGATCTCGAGCTTCTCTTTCCTCATCTCTGTAATGGGCACAGTAAGACCTACCTTAACACACAGAAAATTATTGTGGACTGTAAAACATTCTTTACTACCAGAACCTTACCTGTCAATATTATTCTTGGGAACTTGAAGCAATAAACGAGCCAGGAGTTGCCTCTGGAAAGGGAATTGGGAAAGATGATGGGCAAAGACTATGCAAAGACTAGGGTCTCAGATGGTAACAGAGATCTTGAGAAAAGAAAAGAACAAGACCCCAACATAACGTAAGGGTACTTTTTTTTCTGAAATCAAAAAGGAATTTTCTAGACACAATGGCAGTGCCTGACCAGGTCCTCCTTGTCATTGGCAGGATGGACGTGGTCAGGATAAGCGGAGAATCTACATTGTTGGGGGAATGTAGAACATGGCTGGGCAGGATCAAACACCCAAGCCATTTGTTGTACTTGGGTCTGGAACCAGAGAATTCTAATCATAACCTGGCCCATGTGTAGATCGTGTATGTAAAATCTATTGACCAGGTAATTCTTTTCCTCTCTCACGAATTAGTTCTCTGGTCTATACCTTAGTCTCTACGTACTTTGCTAATATGAATCGAAATCTAAGACCACTTGATTCTGGGGCATTAAAGAAATCGCAGGTCTTGGCCAGAATCACGCAGATAATGCCACTATGTGGGGACACATCGCCCTTCCTCAGGTGACATGCTGTCTCACCACTGCCTTCTGTTCTCTCCAGCTGATGTCTCCAGCTAATGTTCTTAGATTTTGAGGCCCTAGGACCCTAAAATGCTGGACAGGGGATTGTAGCATTTTCTGGGGGTGGGGCACAACGGACCTAAGGGATCAATGAATTCTCTAGTCAATGCCATCTACCAAAGAACTGTCAAAATAAGGCAGAAAACAGAAAGGCAGCATAGAGTAGTGATTCAGCTAGTGGCTATTAGCACCAAATTCCAAGCCATACGACTTCCCAACCGGAGGTAAGCATACCACCTTTACTTCACAGGTTGTATGCGGGAATTAAATAGGATAATGTAGTACCTGACAGATAGTAAGTAAATGTTCATTTTAGGTCTCCTAGCTTTTGTTTTCTAAACATAATTACTGCTTGCAATACCTAATTGCCCATGATCACAGGAGCCAAAAAAAAAATTTTTTTAAAAAATAAAAGGAGCTCAAAGGATATACCCTGAGCCCTGACTGATGTTTCCATTGGTTTTAATTTTATCTCCCTGTGATCACCTCTTTTTTGCCAAACACTTTATCTGGTGAAGTGGCAAAAGTCCTGGCCGTGAACCCCAGATTGCCAACAGTGAGATACTGGCAAGTCGCTTAGAGTCCCCGCCCCTCGGTTTGCACACGTGTAAAACATAAGCCAGTGAGTCTGCAGTCCTTCCTCCCTATCACAGGAAAGGACAGGGAAAAGCCCCATGAAAGCTGTAAAATGCTGCCCCAAGGCACATTATTTCAGGGAGCTGAACCCATATTTGAGATACAGGGAGAATAAACTCTGTGCTCTCCTCTCAGCAACTGAAACTTCCAGTACTGTTCCTGCAAACCTGTTTCTTCTAAGCATAAACAGCTGAGCAAGACGATGACCTTTACTGAGAAGGAATTCTTATTTACTCTCACATAGAGTGAGTCACACAGCTAATTTCACTGGAATCTGGCCAACACCTACCTCTCTAGATCCCATCCAGCTCCCCGCAATGCCGCCGCCCCACATGGGCACTCTGACGTGCAAGACTCTTGAGTGAGTGCCACCTGGCTAGTCTCACTCTCTCCACCCTCAGAAGTGTCTCTGGTTCCAGGTGAGTCTGACCAGAAAGGGTGGACCTGTGGTCTGGCTTGATCCTGAAGGATCTTTGTAGAATACTCTCAAAGGTCATTAGTGCTATACTCTGTGTGGCGTTGAGGTCCTCTTGGGGACCACCTTGGAATGAGAAAGCTCCAAAGCCTATCGAGCTTTCCTGGGCCACTAAAACCCGGGCAGACTCCGGAACCCAAGCCTGGGCCCATGTCTCAACCACCAACACTCTTGGTATCAGTTTGAACCAGAGTAGCCTTTAGGAGCCAATGGGCTGGAAGGAGGGAGCGGCCCCATGTGCCAGCCTTGGACACCTGACCCAGCGACACCAACGATGGGGGTGAGGATGGTAGGTGAGGGCTGGGAACATAGAGGGGATCTGAGGCTAGCTGGGGGAAGGAGGAGCCCCAGAATCCAGAGCTTCATCTCATAGAAAGCCTGCAGGCTCGAGAGCCCATGGTTAGACACAAGCCCACATTGTTCCATGAGGCTGCGTGCTGGGAGTGGAGGTATTACTAAAGCTTGGCTCCAAACAAGGAAGGCTTGCCAGACTGTTTCAGCAATAAATTACCTTGAGCAAGTGATGAAAATAGCTGCAGGACCCTTTAAACCATCGATGAAAGATTTGTTAACTATGCTGGAGTCATCTGTTGACTCAGATCCTGCCCAAGGGTTGCAGACAGGGTAAATCCAGGGAGTTAAGCAGGGGTCCCACGCCCCTGCTTTCAGCAGAGGCTTCTCCCCAAGTAAACAACCAGGAGATGCCCAGGAAACCCGAGAGCTTGCTTCAGATGGAGTGTTGCCTACGCCACAGAGGCAGCAGCTTTCCCGCCACTACCATCCACAAATCCCTGGCAGCTCACAAAGAGCTGTCATGTTAAGTATCTTACTTGAGCTCACACAAGCAAGTGAGGGTGAGGAAATCAGTGTCCCCATTTTACAGACAATGAAACAGAGTCCCAGACACAAACCATCACCCTGGGTCTCCTGACTCCTGCCTGCTGCCTGCCAGCTGCTGTTTCCACTGAAGCACTGCTAAGAATGCAGAATTGGGGGGCAGGCAGAGAGGAAGCAGGGTCATGGCCATTTCTGCTCAGAGAAGCAAGAAGGGGGCAGCTTGGGGGCAGCAGCAGCTCCAGGGCCTTGGCTGGGTTTCCAGCTGACCACCGTTCACCTTTGCAGGTGAGCAGGGCCCGGATGAAGGGACAGCTGGAACCATCGAACGTGTGGACCAGGGTACCGCAGCCAAGCGCCGTGGCAGTCAGGGGACTCCTTTGCTGCCACTCAGGGAGCAGCCCTGGAAGGAAGATGGAACCTGGGCAGAGGTACCACTTCTAACAGGCTCCCTTCTATCATCACCGTGCCTTCACAGAGGCCCACCCTCTCTTCACCGTCTCCTGGGGTCCTCCAAGTGCTTTGACCCTGTTGACGGCTGCTTCCCCAAGTGTCATCTGTGGAACCCCAGCATCACCAGATGCCCTTTAAGAAAAGGGTCTGAGCCGGGCGTGGTGGCGCACGCCTGTAATCCCAGCACTCGGGAGGCTGAGGCAGGAGGATCGTTGCGAGTTCAAGATCAGCCTAGGCTACAAAGTGAGCTCAAGGCCAGCCTGAACTGCAGAGTGAGACCCTGTCTCAAAAAGAAAAAAAAAAGAAAAGAAAAGTGTCTGTAGCCAGGTACAGTGGAGAGATGCTGTGTGTGCATTCTCTTCTCAGAGATGCCAGCTCACATCTGGATATGGGGCACTTTGAGGAGCCCCTCAGTATAGTCACCAGCTTCAGTCTGTTTAACTCCAGGTTTTCCAAATTACTGATCCATCCTGAACCTATGCCTCATTCCTGCGAATACAGACTTATCTAGAAAAAAGAGCTTTTGGCTTTCAACTTAGTCTGAATTCTACTTCTTACTAGTTGTGATAAACTTATCCAAGAAACTTAACTGGCTTTGAGAATCAATGAGACCTTCAATAAAATGGAGCTTTAATCATATGTATCTCACAGAGTTACTGTGAGGATTAAATGAGTTAAATTTTAGAAATGCTCTCTAAACTCTAAGGTGTGTGCATGTGTGTGTGTGTGTGTGTGTGTGTGTGAGAGAGAGAGAGAGAGATAACAGCTGTTCAGAACAACAGTATCTGCTCCATCTTGAATAAAGTCATTTTAACATTCAAGGTCATATGCCAAGGAGAACAGAAAAGGGAAGAAAGACCACACAGTAGAAGAAGAGAGAGGAGAGCTACTTTTCATGATGGATAAATGCAATGATCCAAGCACTTGGTTTTTATTTTTTAATCTTTTTTTCTTGGTAGAACACTGTATGTGAGGTATAGCTATCTGTCATTCTATCATCAATCATAAAATACTTCACAGTCATAAGCAATATCAGAGATCTCGCTGTTACAACCTTGTCTTCCAGCCAGCAGAAGAAATTTCATCCCTAGAACCACGAGTGTAGCCACAAGGCTGACTGTTACAGGAACCTGCTCTGCTCCTTTGTGCCAGCCTGTTTACAGCTCTGTGTGCGTGTCGTTCCCTAGGACACCTCAACAGAGAGTCGCCTCCCTGTTCGTGCCTCAGAGGAAAGCCACAATGAGAAGACACAGCAAACCTCCAGGAAGGCCCTCAGGCATGCCCGCATAGGGCCCTCTTGGCTCCTGGGTGACAAATCCAACACTATACCGTTCGGAGGCGCCTTCCCCAGTCGGAAGGCAGACCTAAGCGGTAAGACCAAAAGTCTCATTCACTGATGGGGGTGAACCAAGTGGTGTGTTCATTTGAGAGCACAGGTGTCTGAAGGGAGCTTCCTTATGCCACACACCTTAGAAAATAACAGCCAGCGTCCAGCTGAATGTGGGAATGAGATCCTCACAGGTCCTTCTGCCTAGTGTTTCACCAGGCAAATTTTACAACCTGAATGCCTGCATTCAAATTAGTCCCCATTTACTACCTGTAGTCTTTCTTTTGTTTTCGGTTTTTTTGTTTTTCTTCCAGTACCAGGAATCAAATTCACGACCTTGTGCTTGCCAGGCAGGCGCTTTGCCACTGAGCTAAATCCTCAGGCCCCTACTATCTGTAATCTTGAGCAATCATTTAATTTTGCTGAGGTTCCATTTCCCCTGCTGTAGAGTGGGGATAATAATATCAATATATGACTACTGTAATGCCATGCATACAAAACACTCTGCATAATTCTCTTCTCATATTTAGTGCACAATACCTATTGGTTATTATTGTTATTCTCTCTGATTGAGAACTCAACCCAGAGGATGACACTAGGCTCCCTAACCCTGCTCAGCAAGGCCACGCCCCCTCCGCACCTGGTGTGCTCCCGGATTTCCTTCCTGTCATTAACCAAAAGAGGTACAAGCTGAAAGTCGACTGTCTACCCCCATACCTGCAACTAAGAACTTCTCTTTCCGGTCCTGTTTCTGCAGAAAAACAAGGGACCGAGAAGCTCTGCAAGGCTAGAGGCGGCCACCTCTTACCAGAGCCTCCTGCGGAAAGATGCCTTTTCCCTCCAGTAACATCTGCCGCTGCCTCAGAGCACAACACCTCTGGGGAAGTAAAGGGGAAGAAGGTATGTGTGCGTGTATGTGTGTGCATGGGTGTGTGTGTGTTTAACCCCAAACTAGAAATGAGGCCACGCAAAAGGGTATCTCGCAGAGAACTGGCCTCTCCAGCTTCTGAGCTTGCCAATGGAGCCAGAATAGAACCGGAGTAATTTAATGCTGAAAATCATGAGGAATGAGGAATTCCAGTTATACCTTAAAGCATATGCTATCACCACTGTCTCTGAGGGCAACAGAATCCTTTATTCTCCTGAGGGTTTAAGGTTTTCTGCAAACAAGTAAGGACAGAATCTGAGCCGCTAAGCAGTTGATCCACTTTCAAACTCAAAATGCGGGTGAACTTGAACCCAGCAACGATTTGCACCAATGAGAGTCTGTCACCTCTGCACATGAAGGTCAGAGGTTGCAAGTTTATCAGGCCTCTTCAGAAGTCAGAACATCTTCTTTCAGAGATGTCCTCTGCTATCTCCAGCCTGCTTCGCAGTTCTACATGGTCATGGGTTGTGGGTGGTTTGGAGGCCCACAGGCCTGCGGGATGCTCCGCCTCGTAGCAGCTGTGAACAGGCCACGCAAGCTCACCGTGCCACAGTGACCTTACTGCGTGCCTGGAGAAAGACGACGGCCTCAAACTGCTGGTGGAAGGATGCAAAGAGATGGTGCACCTCTAGGAAATAATTCTATGTCTGCTTGGGAGCTACCAAAATGTTAATCAGGTGTGAGGATTCCTGTCCCTGGAGGAGCCATGGGCACTCTGGCAGTCCTGGTGCCAATGAAGGAAGTTGTTTTCAGTCTGTTCAGGATTTTTAGATATCCTGTGTCTGAGCTGATCTAAACTTTTCCATCCACACCACAGTGGTCTCTTGGTTCCTTTGGAACAGGAATACACAGCAAGCCTGACCCCCCAACACACCCAGAGTCACCACAGACCTAAGGCAAGCCCTCATCCATACCCAGCCAGGCTCTTCCTTCAGCCCCTACGTCTGCTCAACAGAGGGGAGCAATGTCCTCCAAGACAGTATATTAACACTCTGCATAAATTTCTAGTTGGAATAAAGAAATTAAGTCCCGTCAGCCACACTTCACACAAATAGTTTGAGTTTCCACTCATTTCTCAATGTGACCCTTGTCAAACAAAATGCACAAGGTCAGTATTCAAAAAGGAGCTGCTGGCGGCAGCCCGTGCCTGACAGTGAGGATCTCGAGGAACATAAAGATCCTATGTGCTTGTGTTTGTTTAATCATTTTCTTAATGTCTCTAGGCATGTAGGATGCTTATGTATGTCTTTTATCATTTTTTTTTCTTTTGGAGTACAGAAAAAAATGAGAATGTTTTCATTTTTCCTCCTATGAAATCAAACTCTCTGAAACCCAGCACCATAAACACTTCACAGAGCGGAGTTCATATGTTAAAAGTTGCAAACTGAAAAGTGAAATTTTCAACAACTTCTGAATAACTGGAAACAGAAGGCTCTAATTACTATACTTTTTTGTATCTCTATCCCATATGTGTGTAAATGTGTGTGTGTGTGTCTGTGTGTTTGATGGGGACAGAAAACAACTGGGCTAAATTATTCCCAGCTATATTCATGTTACAGAAGTATGAAGAAACTTAGATTTTTCCCCTCTAGGAGCCAACAAGAGTTATCAAACTCCAGTGAAAGAAGAGTCCACTCTCAAAGAAAAAAGCTATTAAAATAATCCTACTTCAAACACTATTATAACTACAGGTACTAAGTCGTGGAGCCTTCTGAGTCACTTTCTGAGGTAGGAGTATGATTATTCCTATTCCACAGAGGAAAAAAATGGCAGCCGGGAAAGCTTATGTAAGGGAAGCAAACACAAATGCAAATTCCTGTTTCCTGCCCCTTCTTACATCATCTATTGCACGGTCAAATGTCCTTAACAACATATGTGTAGATTTCTCCTTTTCAGGGTGGACAAAGCTCAGTTATATCATTTCAGTCCACTTCATTTTCCCTAGTGATTAAAGAAAGACTATCCTCTCAAAGACTCAAAAGTTACTCATGTTGGTGATTCTCAGAGAAATCAAAGGCAGGAATAATGGGTGTATGTCGAGTTCCCAAGAGCCCAAGTGCAACAGTGCCACCAAAGGCAGAGACTCAGCACTCAGCCTTCTCCCAGCAGCTCCTGGTGCAAGAAATATAATAAAATAAAATGCACTATCATTTTCTCAGCCAGAAGCAGGGCTGGATACCTGCCATGTTGATTTTTTGTGTGTTTAAATTTTCTCCAGGCACCATCAGCTTTGAAATTACCTCCTATTTTGGAAGAGCCACCCAGAATTCTTGACCCCCTGAGGAGCCAGTTTAAAGGCAATGAACCTCCAACAGAGCTCTTCATCATTCCAATGGAGATTCATTTCCACACTCCACAGCCCCCAAAGGAAAATGCCTGCAAAAGAGGTGGGTCCCCCGCGGGTGCATGCTCCTATGGGAGCCAGGTGAGCCAGAAAGGAATGAGATTTGAGGTCATGCCAACTCAGCCCACTCCCAAATCATGGCTGAGCTACTTCAGAGTCATCTTCTTCAGACAATTTTCCCAAAGAAGGAAAATCTAGAAATAGGTCTCTTCTGATTACATTCAATTCAATTTTTAAATATCTATCGAACCCTTCATTAAACAGTGTGTTTTGCTAAACTGTGGGAGGAAAGGAAAGCAGGCACGCATGACAATAACTCCAGTGTGCCCTTGGTGCCACAAAGATCAAGGCTTTTCAAGCCGTTTACAAAAAATTAAACACAAAGATACATGATGAAAATTTACATGATGAATGTTTAAAATTTTATTACAATAAAATTTTACATGATGAATGTTTAAAATTTTATTACAATAAAAGATACATCACCCTTAATCCCTCTCAAATATTCTCCCTCCCTTTGAGCCACTCATCCCATCATTCTTGCCACGTTTTGAAGCAGTTCTGGAAGTCCTCTTTGATGAATGACTTTATAAGGTATGATCAAAAATGTAGTACATGCTGCTGTGACATGCCAGCCAAAGGAAAGGCAGCCTCCTTAAAACAGGATGGTGTGCCCTCACCCACCTCATTCAACAGATCCGGCACTGTGTGACTTCTGGCTCATCCTCAAAGTCAAAAAAGGACCATGGAAGGTACACATTTTCAATTGCTCCAGGACACTGAAGCAGCCACTAAAGTGAAACTAAAGACTTGAAAGAGAACTTCCAGAGCTCCTTCAGAAAGTGGCAAGAATGGTGGGATAAGTGTTCAAAGTGAGTGTTTTGAAGGGGATTAATGACAGTATGACTTTTACTGTAATTTTAGAAAACATTTTAAACCTTTGCCATGTTTTTAGATCATACTTTGTATGGCACAAAACAAGTCAACTGAAATTGAATTTTTTTAAAAAAAACTGGCTAAAAGGAGCAGAGAAATAAATGGTCCCAGACACCTGGTATGAAAGAACTGCTTTAAGTAAACACTCAATGTACCTGAGTTTCTTGGAAGCCAAGGTAGAAAGAATTCTTGAATGTTTTGACCTTCATTTTTCAAAAGAAAGGTAAGGAATTATCCAAAGTGTCATTTTCCTGATTTTTAAAAATTTTTATTTTTGTTAGTATACGTTTTCAGCACACAATGATTATATTCATCATGGGGAGCTGGTGTCTGCACATGACACATCTTCGTTCTTCTTTCATGCCCTTTCCCTCCCCTACCTCCTCCATCTCTACTTCTTGGTCCCCATCATATTTGTAAAAGATCTATCTCCCTGTTGCCTATTATCTACCTTTTATTTTGCTCTTTAATTTATTTATGCTTTGGGTTTCTCATATAAAAGAAACCATGTGATATTTAAGCTTGTGTGACTAATTTATTTCACTTAATATTATGGTCTCAAGGTGTATCCATTTTCCTACAAATGGCTCAAATTTATCCTTTTTTATGACAGAGTAGTACTCTGCTATGTACAAATACCATATTTTCTTTATCCAGTTATTTGCTGATGGACATATAGGCTGCTTCTGTGATTTAACTCTTATGAGTTTGCTGCTATAAACATGAGGATTCATCTATTACTGTCATGTGATTTATTTAACTCTTTTGGAAAGATACCTAGTAGGGGAACAGCTGGATCAAATGGAATTTCTATTTTTAGTTTTTTGAAGAAACTCCATAACAATTTCCATAGTGCTGTACTAGTTTACATTCCTACCAACAAATGTAGAAGGATTCCTTTTCCCCGCAGCCTCACCAGCATTTGTTATTACTTGATTTCTTGATGATAGCCATTCTTTGTGGAATAAGACAGAATACGTATGCTGTTTTAATTTTTATTTCAGTAATAGTCAGAGATGATGGACATTTTTTCGTGTATTTATTGACCATTTGTACTTCTTCTGAGAAATGTCTATTCATTTCAGGGGTTCATTTTTTTAATTGAGTCTTATTTTGTGGGGTCTTTTTTAAAAAATTTATCTCTTCAGGCCTTTGGTTGTTTCCTTTGCCACGCAGAAGCTTTTAAAACTTGATCTAATTCCATTTGCTGACGTTGATTCTTGATGTTATTTTTTGTATAATTAGGGGTCTCCTCAGAAAGCTCTTACTTATGCCCATCTTTGAGTTCTACCTAATCTATCTTCCAGCTGGTTACGTGTCAGTGTTTTAATATTCTACATCTTTGATCTATTTTGATTTCAGTTTAGCACATGCTGAGAGACGCAGGTCCAGCTTCAATCTTCTGCATGTTGACGGCCAGTTTTCCCAGCACCATTTGCAGAAGAGATCTTTTCTCCTCCAGCTTATGTTTTGACCACTTTCCAAAAGATCAGACAGCTGAATGTGCCTGGGGCTGTTTCTGCATCCTCTACCTGTTCCACTGATCCACATGTCTGTTTCTGTGCCAGGGTCATGCTATTTTTAATCACTGTATCCTTGTAGTATAACTTGAAGTCCGGTAGCATGATGCCTCCTGCTTTGCTCTTGTTGCCCAGGATTGCTTTTGCTCAGTGGCCTAGCCAGCATTCCTGCCTAACAGGCCAGTCTTTCCATTTGCTGCCCTCCAACATATCTGATTTTTGTTTGTTTGTTTGTTTGTTTGTTTTTCTCCGGTACCGGGAACCAAACTCACGACCTTGCGCTTGCCAGGCAGGCGCTTTGCCGCTGAGCTAAATCCCCAGCCCCCCTCCAACATATCTGAATATGTTAACCTATTAAAATAGAAAACAAATGGTATATACAGAAAAACATACATATTTCAATGTAGTTGAATCTTCACTGTGTTAAAATGAAGTAAATTTTTACAATATAATTTTCCTTTTGGCCAATAATGCCACCCAAAAAATGTGCTGCCCAGGGCAAACCACTGCCTCTGCCCACCCCTCCCCAGCGACGCTACTACTTTTGCTACTCTGGGTCTCTTCCATACAAATTTTAGCATTGTTCTCTCGTTCTATGAGGGATGCTGTTGGCATTTTAATTGGCATTAGGTTAAACCTATATATCACTTTTGGGAATATGGCCATTTTGACAATGTTGGTTCTGCCTATCCAAGAATAGGGAGCCTCTTTCCATTTTCTGATGTCCTCTTCTCTCTCCTTTCTTAGAGTAGTGTAGTTTTCATTCTTGAGGTCTTTCACTTCCTTGGTTATGTTAATTCCTAAGTATTTAATTTTCCTGAAGGTATTGTGAATGGTATTGTTTTCCTAATTTCTTTCTCAGGAAGTTCACTGTTGGTGTACAGGAATGCTATTGATTTTTCTGTGTTGGTTTTTGCATCCTGCTACACTACTGAATTTGTTTACTAGTTCTAAGAGCCTTTTGGTGAATTTTTGGGGTCTTCTCTGTAAAGGATCATGTCATCTGTGAATAAAGATAGTCTGAATTTATCCTTTCCTATATGTATCCTTTTATTTCTTTCTTTTTTTGCGGGGGGGATTGTTTCTGGTACCAGGAATTGAATTCACGACCTTGCGCTTGCCAGGCAGGCGCTGTGCCACTGAGCTAAATCCCCGGCCCGCTTTTATTTCTTTCTGTTACCAGATTGCTTTGGCTAAAGTTTCAAGAACTATGTAGAGCAAGAGTAGTGAGAGTAGTCATCCTTATCCTGCTCCTGATTTTAGAGAATTATGCTATTGGCAGTAGGTTTATCATAAATGGGTTTTATCAGATTGAGGCAATGTCTTTCTGTACCTATTTTCTCTGCAGTTTTTGTCATGAATGGATTTTGTCAAAGGCTTTTCTGCACCTATTGTGATGATCACATGATTTTTGCCTTTGCTTTGTTTATATGGTGTATTATATTTATTAATTTGCATATGTTGAACCTTCTCTGAGATAAAGATTTCTTGATCAGGATTTGACATTTTTGTCACCTCTTTCCATTCTGTGAGGCTGGTTGCATCTGTGCACATTAAAGAGACTGGTGTGCAATTTTCTTTTGGTGGTTTGCTTTGGTTTGCTTTGGTTTGGTTTGGTTAGGTTTAGTTTTGTTTTGAGGCAGTCTCACTATGTCATTCAGGCTGGCCTTGAACTTAGTATTTAACCCAAACTGGCCTTCTATTTATGGCAATCCTCCTGTCTCAGCCTCCCAAGGGCTGGAATTACAGGTTACACCACCACACCCAACATTTCTTTTTAGTTGAGTCCTTGTCTGCTTTTGGAACCAAGGTAATACTAACTTCCAAGAATGACTTTAGTTCCATTAAAGAGTTTGAGGACTATTGATGTTAAATCTTCGCTAAAGTTCTTGTAGGATTCAGCAGTGAATCCATCAGGTCCTCAGCTTTTCTTAGTTCATAGGGCTTTTTTTTATAACTGCCTGAATTATATTTCTGTTATTAACTAATTTGGGGCTTTTATATCTTCTTGATTCAGTTTTTGATAATTTATGTGTATCTGGTAATCTATCCATTGCTTCTGGGTTCTCCAACTTACTGGAGTACAGATTTTCTGAGTAGTTACTAATAATCTTCTAGATTTTGGTGGTGTCCATCATAATTTTGCCTTTTTCATTTTTAATGGCCTTGATTTGGGTCTTTTCTTTCCCTTCCTTTTTAAATAAGATTGGCCAAAGATTTGTCTATTTTGTTTATTCTTCTGAAAAACCAACTATTCGATTCATTGATAGTTTTATTTTTTTAGTTTCAATTTCATTAATTTTGGCTCTGATCTTTATAATTTCCTTCCTTATACTAACTTTGAATTTGGGTTGTTCTTATTTTTCCAGGACCTTGAGCAATATCATTAGGCTGTTTATTTGGACTTTGTTTTTGTGATATAATACTCACAGCTATCAATTTTCCTCTTAGAACTGGTTTCATTGTGTCCAATTAGTTCTGGTATGTTGTACTGGCATTCTCATTTGATTCTAGGAGCTGTCTGATTTCTTCCTTGATTTCTCCTGTGACCCATTGATTATTCAAGAGTGTATTGTTTAATTTCCAT